AACCCCATCTCTATTAAAATACAAAAAATTAGCCGGGTGTGGCAGTGGACACCTGTAGTCTCAGCTACTCGGGAGGCTGAGGCAGGAGAATTTCTTGAACCCGGGGGGCGGAGGTTGCAGTGAGCCAAAATCACACCACTGCACTCCAGCCTGGGTGATGGAACAAGACTCTGTCTCAGAAAAAAAAAGAAAAAAGAAAAAATTTGATCCCCAGTGTGCACTATTGAGAAGTAGGGCCTAGTGGGAGATGTTTGGGTCACAGACGCAGATCTTTCATGAATGGATTAATGTCTTCCTATGGGGGTGAGTTCTTGCTCTCAGGGCACTTAGTTCCCATGAAAGCAGGTTATTATAAAAACGAGTTTGACTTCCCAGACTCTCTCATTTCCTCTCTTGCCATGTGATCTCTCTGTACCCACCTGCTCACTTTTCTTCTCCACCATCTTTCAACCTAGTGTGTGGCCCTCACCGGAAACTGCCAGATATGATGCTATGCTCTTTAACTTCCCAGCCTGAAGAACTGTGAGCTAAATAAATGTGTCTTCTTTATAGAATACCCAGTCTTAGGTAGTCTGTTACAGCAACACAAAATAGACTAAGACAGGCTCAAAACAAGAGAACAGTTGTAAAGAAAGCCTCAGTCTTCTTGGAAATGATCTAAGTGGTCATGATCATAATGCTAGTAGAAAAACAGACAGTAGGCTGGTCATGGTGGCTCACACCTGTAATTTCAGCACTTTGGGAGGCTGAGGTGGAAGGATCCCTTGAGCCCAAGAGTTCAAAACTGACCTGGGCAACATGGCAAAACCCCATCTCTACACAAAACACAAAAATTAACCAGACATGGTGGCACATGCCTGCAGTCCCAGCTACTTGGGAGACTGAGGTGGGAGGATCGATTGAGCCCAGGAGGTCAAGGCTGTTGCTGTGAGCCATGATCACCCCACTGCACTCCAGCCTGGGCAAGAGAGTAAAATACTGTCTCAAAAAAAAAAAAAAAAAATTGGTCGGGTGTGGTGCTTCATGTCTGTAATCCCAGCACTTTGGGAAGTCGAGGCAGGCAGACCACTTGAGGTCAGGAGTTTTGAGACCAACCTGGCCAACATGGTGAAATGTCATCTCTGTTGAAAATACAAAAATGAGCCAGGCATGGTGGTGTGTGCCTGTAGTCCCACCTATTCAGGAGGCCGAGGCACAACAATTGTTTGAACCCAGGAGCCGGAGGTTGCAGTAAGCCGAGATTGCACCACTGCACTCCAGCCTGGGTGACAAAGTGAGACTTCATCTCAAAAAAAAAAAGGGCAGTGAAATAGAATCTTTGGGAAAAGAGGGTGCATGCCTGCTTTTGACTGCTTATACTAAAATCCAAGAAGATGAATTAAAGATGAGATTTATCATCAAAGGGGAAGTAGAACTTAAATATCTGGAAAATATATTTCCAAATATTCCAGCCTGGCCATCTTGTAAAGAATGTAAAAGAGGCCGGGTGCAGTGGCTCACGCCTGTAATCCTAGCACTTTGGGAGGCTGAGACGGGTGGATCACGAGGTCAGGAGATCGAGACCATCCTGGCTAACACGGTGAAACCCTGTTTCTACTAAAAATACAAAAAAATTAGCCGGGCATGGTGGCGGGCGCCTGTAGTCCCAGCTACTCAGGAGGGTGAGGCAGGAGAATGGCGTGAACCTGGGAGGCGGAGCTGAGATCGTGCCACTGCACTCCAGCCTGGGTGAAAGAGCGAGACACCATCTCAAAAAAAAAAAAAAAAAGAATGTAAAAGCAAGCCTGGATGCAATGGCTCAGGCCTGTAATTCCAACAGTTTGGGAGGCCAAGGAGGGAGGATTGCTTGAGCTCAAGAGTATGTGACCAGTCTAGGCAACAAAGCAAGACTCCATCTCTACAAAAAAAATTAAAATAAAATAAAATAAATTTGCCAGACCTGGTAGCACACACCTATAGTCCCAGCTACTTGGGAGGCTGAGGTAGCAGAATGGCTTGGGCCCCGGAAGTCGAGGCTTCAGTGAGCTCTGATCCACCACTGCACTCTAGCTTGGAAGACAGATCAAGATCTGTCTTTGAGATGTTGTCTCACTCTGTCGCCAGGCTGGAGTATGGTGGCACAATCTCGGATCTCGGCGCACTGCAACCTCCGACTCCCTGGTTCGAGCGATTCTCCTGCCTCAGCCTCCCGAGTAGTTGGGATTTATGGCACGCACCACCATGCCAATTTTTATGTTTTTAGTAGAGATGGGGTTTCACCATGTTGGCCAGGCTGGTCTTGATCTCCTGACCTCGTGATCCGCCTGCCTTGGCCTCCCAATGTGCTGGGATTACACCGCGCCCAGCCACCAAGCAAACATTTGATAAGGAGATTAGTATGGATAGAAAGAAGCCAGATGGCCAGGAGTAGCGGCTCACACCTTAAGTACTTTGGGAAGCTGAGGCGGGTGGATCACTTGAGCTCAGGAGTTCAAGACCAGCCTGGGCAACATGGTAAAACTTTGTCTCTACAAAAAACACAAAAATTAACCAGGTGTGGTGGCAAGTGCCTGTAGTTCCAGCTACTCATGAGGCTGAAGTGGGAGGACTGCTTGAGCCCAGGAGGTGAGGCTGCAATGAGCCATGATCACACCACTGCACTCCAGCCTGGGTGACGGGGTGAGAACTTGTCTCAAAAAAAAATAAATAAATAAAAATAAAAATAAATAAATAAATAAAAGAACCCGATGCTATTCATCAAGACAGTAAAGCAATTACCCCAAAGGCATTTCTGAGATCTTTGTGGCTGCCCGTCTCATCATAAGCCCAGAATGCCAGGGTCTTGGGGGCAGAACAATTTCAAGGTTCCACTTCCCACATTCCAGAGTGCTCCTTACCCACTCCAGCTGTAGCTCAAGCAGGCCCAACTATGGCTCGGGCCACCCCTCTAGAAGGCACAGGCAACAAACCACAGTGGTGTCCGTGCAGTGCCATCTCCACAGTGCACAGAGTGAATGAGCCGTGGGGGCACACTTACCTCTACCCAGACTTCAAAGGATGCCCCAAAGAATGCCAGGGCCCAAGCAGAGAACTCTCACGGGCAGGGCCACCAGAGAGCCCTCACTAGGGCAAAGCCCAGTGGAGTCGTGGGGGCAGGGCCACCCCAAGACCCAAGACTGGTAGAACCACTAGCATGCAACTCCAGTCTGAGAGATACAGGCATGAGACTCCAATGACTGAGAGCTGCTGCATGGGAGCAGCAGCTGTGGGAGTGGGGCCATCCAGCGCTTTGCAGGACCAACCCCTGCCCTAGTTTTTGTGGAAGGCGGGGCTTTGAGTCAAAAATTATTCTTAAGCCTTAAGATTTAATGTTGTTTGTCTGGTTGGGTTTTTCTGTCACTCCTTTCTTCCTACTTCTCCCTTTTGGTCTTGAACTCCTGGCCTCAAGCAACCCACCCACCTTGGCTACCCAAAACACTGGGACTACAAGTGTGAACCACCACACCAGGCCTCACTTCTCCTTTCTGGAATGGGAATGTCTATCCAATGTCTGTCCCACCACTGCACTTTGGAAGCATACAACCTGTTTGATTTCACAGGCTCACAGCCCGAGAGAAATGTGCCTCAGAGTGAATCCCAGAGCCAAAGTCTTAGCTATATTTGATTTAGATGATATTTAGATGGGACTCTGGACTTCAGACTTTTGAGGTGATGCTAAAACTAAGTTAAGACTTACCCGGAGTTAACATTTTGGGGGCTATTAGGATAGAATGAATGTATTTTGCATGTAAGGTGAACATGAATTTTGAGGGGCGGGGGCAAAATGCTATGGTCGGAATTTTTGTGTCCCTCCAAATTCATGTTGGAATCCACTGTGGTGGTATTAAGAGGTAGGGCTTTTAGGAGGTGACTAGTTTGTTAGGACTCTGCTCTACGAAGGGTGTCAGTGCCCTTGTTGGAGAGGCTTGAGGGAGTCTTCCACCTTTCTCCACCATATGAGGATGCAGCAAGAAGGTACCATCTGCGAGGAACAGGCCCTCAATGGACACCAAATCTGCTGGCGCCTTTATCTTTTTTTTTTTGAGATGGAGTTTCGCTCCTGTTGCCCAGGCCGGAGTGCAATGGCGTGATCTCGGCTCACCGCAACCTCCGTCTCCCGGGTTCAAGTGATTCTCCTGCCTCAGCCTCCTGAGAAGCTGGGACTACAGGCATGTGCCACCACGCTTGGCTAATTTTGTATTTTTAGTAGAGATGGGGTTTCTCCATGTTGATCAGGCTGGCCTCGAACTCCTGACCTCAGGTGATCCACCTGCCTCGGCCTCCCAAAGTGCTGGAACTACAGGCGTGAGCTGCTGTGCCCAGCCCATCACAAGATCAGTGCTGGCGCCTTTGTCTTGACCTTCACAGCCTCTAGAACTGTGAGCAATAAATTTCTGTTGTTTATATTACCCAGTCTAAGGTATTTCGTCATAGCAGCCTGAACTAAGACAAATAGGTATACAATCTTGCATTCTGCCTTGTTCATATATATTCCATAGATTTTTCTCTTGTTTCCAGATAGTCTTGATTATTTCAAAGGGCTGCATAATTAGCTGTACTGACACAATAGAATTTACCAAGCCCTACCCTCTGGCAAACCATTTAAACCTTTCTGATATTTTGCATTAAAAACAACATCACAGTCAATAACTTTGTACATAAAAAAGCTTCTTGCTTTTATGTTCAACTACACTCTAGGATATACTGCTGAATGAATGAATGGACTTCCCTGAAGCATCATAACTGTCTCGATAGTCCAAACATTTTCACAGGTCTTGCAAAGAAGGACAGACTGCTTCTAAAGGGCCCTGCAATTTACAAGGTAATCAGAAGTGCATTCGCTACTATCCGGCCAAGAAAGATGTTAATCAGTCTTTGACAACTTAAAAAAAAATGAAGAATGAGGGGAAAAACCACACACACAACAGTTTAGTCAGCCTTAAAATCAGAGGAAAGTGGGAAAGAGGCAGCAGCACACTTACTGGGGATCTCCAGGCTGGGGTGGATGGCAGCCACACTTCTGACCATGGGTGGGGAATGCCGTCCATCCACCAAGTCCGACTCGGCATCCTGCGCCTCTCCATGAATCACTGCAATTCCCAGGCGCAGGCGCTCAGCAAAAGACTGTGCCCTAAGGGAAAACACCAGACACAAACTCAAAACTCATGCAGCCCTGGGTTCTGCTAATGCTTAGGGGACAAAGCATTAAGAGAACATAAGTAGAATGTTGTCTCCCAAAGGAATAAAGAAAAGAGAGAATAAAACAGCCTCACACTAGGACCCAGGACTAACTGTAGAGACCCCACACGCCAAACACTTCCCTTGGCGGCAGCACCAAAGAAGGGCAGCGGCCTGGCCTGGTCTAACAGACCAGGCTTCTCAAGCCACCGGCCGGGAGAGCCTGACTGAGTGAAGGAAACTGCGCTCAGCTCTGTCTCACCTGAAGCTGCTAATTCTACCTGCTTCTGCCTAACTACCAGTGAGAACCAACTACATGGGGCAAAGGGCATAAAATGCTCACCAAAGTATTAAGCACAAATTTCTTAATAGTTTTAGGGGGGTGAAATTGAGATACAAGAAACTGTGCGTATCTAAAGTATATAATTTCATGAGCTCTGAAGGCTATATGTGCCCATATAAGCATCAGCACAATCAAGACAAGGAACGTTACCACCACAAGCATCTCCTTATGCTCCTTAGTGATTTTTCCGTCCGGCCCCAGGCAACGGCTGATCTGCTTTCTGTCACCACAGTTTCACCTATCTAGAATTTCATGTAAATGAAATCATAAAGTTGCTTTTGTCTTTTTTTTTTTTTTTTTTTTTTTTAAAGATGGAGTATTGCTCTTTTGCCCAGACTGGAGTGCGGTAGCGGGATTTCTCAGCTCACTGCAACCTCTGCCTCCCAGGTTCATGTGATTCTCTGGCCTCAGCTTCTCAAATAGCTGGAACTACAGTCATGCACCACCACATCTGGCTAATTTTTGTATTTTTAGTAGAGATGGGGTTTTACCATGTTGGCCAGACTGGTCTCGAACTCCTGACCTCAAGTGATCCTCCCACCTCGACCTCCCCAAGTGCTGGGATTATAGGTATGAGCTACCTGGCCATTTGTCTTATTTTACGCAGCATGTTTTGGAGATTCATCCATGGAATAACATCAATAGTTCATTCTCTTTCATTGCTGAGTAATATTCTACTGTGTGAATAGATCACAGTGTATCCATTTATGTATTGCTGAGTTTTCTGGTTGTTTCTAGTTTTTGGTTGTCACAAAGCTGCTGTGAACATTCATACACAGATACTCTGTATGGGCACATGTTTTCTTTCTTTCTTTCTTTCTTTTTTTTGAGACAGAGTCTAACTCTGTTGCCCAGGCTGGAGCGCAGTGGCGTGAACCTCCACCTCCCAGGTTCAAGCGATTCTCCTGCCTCAGCCTCCCAAGTAGCTGGGATTACAGTCATGTGCCACCACGCCTGGCTAATTTTCATATTTTTTGTAGAGATGGGGTTTTGTCATGTTGGCTAAGCTGGTCTTCAACTCCTGACCTCAGGTGATCTGCCCACCTCGGCCTCCCAAAGTGTTGGAATTACGCTCCCAGCCACATGCTTTCTTATCTCCTGATAAATTCCTAAGAGTGGAATGGCTGGATCATATAGTAGGTGTATATTTAATTCTTTATAAAAAGGCCACACAGGCTGGGTGCGGTGGCTCACAAGGTCAGGAGATTGAGACCATCCTGGCTAACACAGTGAAACCCCGTCTCTACTAAAAAAATACAAAAAAAATTAGCCAGGCGTGGTGGTGGGCACCTGCAATTCCAGCTACTCAGGAGGCTGAGGCAGGAGAATGGCGTGAACCCAGGAGGCAGAGCTTGCAGTGAGTGGAGATAGTGCCACTGCACTCCAGCCTGGGTGACAGAACAAGACTCCATCTCAAAAAAAAAAAAAGGCCACACTGTTTTCCAAAGTGGTTATACCATATTACAGGCCCATGAGCAGAGCATCAGAGATCCAGTCCCTCCACATCTTCAACAACACTTGGTACAGTAGTACGGTAATTTGTGTCTTGTTTTCTCCTAACCAGTCTGGATAAAGGTTTATCAATTTTATTGATTGTCTCAAAGAGTCAGTTTTTTAGCTTTTTTCTGGTTTTTGTTTTCTATTTCATTGATTCATGCTTTAATCTTTTTCTTTTTTGACTGTTGAATTCAGTTCTTTATATAACATCCCTTGTAAAAATGAAACAGAATAAAAACACACCGAAAGGAGGGGCAGGGTAAAATCTGAAAAGGAAAGGAAAGGGAGGAAAAGGAAATAAAATAAGATGATTTATTGCTTCTCCGTCAGTATCCTCCTTGGTCTTCTCCTCCACTGAAAGAGCTTTTAGCTCTTCTGCCACTTTTTCGGCATGATCATTTTTGCCTGATCCTTTCTTTTCTCTCTGATCTTTTTCTTGTATTCTTCAAACTTTGTTTTGAATTTCTGTGCATTCTCAACATTCAGGAAGCGGATGGCCAGCAGCTCTGGCTTGGGGCACTTGTTGGCGAAGCTGGCGTGGGTGTTCCAGACCCAGGCATGGTCACTACCCACACTGAGCTTCAGCTCCATCATCAGCGTGAAGTAGTGGTTAGCACAGATCTTCACGGTCTTGTCCCTCTGCATGAGGAGGCGGATGGTCCCTTTCTCCTTGTGCTTCAGGAGCTTGATGTCGCCGATGCCTCACTCCTTCCATTTTGGGAGATCCTTCTCTGAGGCAAATCAGAACAGTTTCATTCACATTTTTAAAAGTTCTTCTTCATCTTCCCCCAGCATTTTTTTTTT